CCCTAACCCTAAACCCCTAAACCCCGGGGCCTGGTCCTTGCTCCCGCGATCCTGAAGAAATCGGAGAACCGCACTGCTTCGCATCAGGCCGTCACCTTGGGCGGAATGCTTCTGTAGTAGCTTTGCTGCTTCGGTTTTGGGAAGTTTAGGGTTTAGGATTTAGGGTTAAGGGATGTTCAAAGCTTTGGGGCTTCGCTAAACCCCAAACCCTATACCCCAAACCGCATTTTGAGAGCACTTGCTGTTCGGAGCCGGGCCCAATTTCTTCAAAGGGGCCCCAGGTTGAAGCAAATCCGGACGATCGTTTAGGGTTCAGGGTTTAGGGTTTAGGGGTTTAGGGTTTAGGGGTTTACGGTTCGAGTTTAGGGTTTAGGGCCTAGATACAGTCACAAACGGTCCCAGCTTTGCAGAGATTGGGTTTGGTTTGGGTTTGCTCGCTCGGTGCCCGGCGGTCGACAGGAACTTCCTCCAACATGGCCTGGGAGGACTCTGACACTCTGAACCCAATTGGGCATTTAGGGTATATTCTATAAGGCTTCTACAAGGTATATAGACCTTCTATAAGGCTCCTATAACAGTAACTACCCGCGTGCTGCCGGCCTGGAGCCCATCCTCGGGGAAGCCTTGGGCCACGTGCCACACGAAGCAAAGGCAAAGCCTCCGACTCCTCAAAGCCGCAGCGACCTGCCTTGCAGGCCTTTCACGAAGCTACGAAACGTCTCCGCCGACATCCGCTCCGTGTCCTGGCCAGCAGACTGCTTGGCTCTGCGACTCGGTCTCAAAAGCGGACAGAGTCCCGCTACAATGCTCCGACGTGTCTCACGATTCAGCGATGCAGAAGCTCATTGAGACCTAAACTCCCCTCAACCCGGGGCGCCTGCTCCCTCGTGTAAATCTGGGAGCAAAGGGACGGGGGTAGTGAAGAGCAGGGAGTCCGTTTTCATTGCGGGTGGGAGAGGGGAGGGGCTAGAAAGCTTCGTGGTGGCTTTTCGGGCGCTGCGGCTCAGGGAACGTGCTGAATGGAATGGAAGGGAATGTAGTGCGCTGGCTTTTGCATATCGGCATGAAACAGCGGTCTTGACTTTCGACTAGCGAGCATCCGCTGAAACGCAGAAGAGTCCCTTCCCGCAGGCTGCCGGTTCCATTCCTACGCTGAAAGCCCAGTACTTCCTAAGTACCACCATAGATCCAGTCACACAGTCCTTACTTAAAGGATCATGGGACTTTGTAAGTAGGGCTATAAAAAGAGGTAACTATACTTATAACCCCAATTAGGGGACTTATAACCTTATTTCCTAAGTCCCATGATCCTTTAAGTACATCCTACGGCCAGGTTCTCTGCGACTCTTCGGCTCAACTCCGAAAGCTACAGGCCAACGCCGAGAGCCCAGCCCGCTTGCCGGTCGCAAGGGCGAGTAGGGCCAGCAAGAGCCGCGCCGCCTTAGCCAAGTCTGCATCTGGGTAGCTCTCTAAATTAGGGTCCCCTTCCTAAGTTCCCAATATAGTACGGCACCCTTTATAAGGGTCCTAAAAGGGACCCTAATTTAGA